TAGATTATTTAAAACGTGTATTTTAAATTGATCAGAAACTACAAAAGTATTTTTATAAATGTCTTCGTACGGCTCATCTACTTTGCGGCTCCCATCAAGTGGCTAGCCACAAGCTCGGTACCGCGCCTCTGTCTACCAAAACCAACCTACACCTAGACTAAAGAATGCTCCCCCCACCCCCACCCCAACCTTCAAACCTGGCTCTGTGGCGCGTAGGAAAATAAAACTTCACAAACACATGCAGTTTTGATGACGTCATTAGGAGATTATCTGCCAACATTTCTGGTCATATAGCAAAGCGGAGTGCAGCAGACTTTTAGGGGCCAGGTGGTGGAAATAAGATTGGATTGGGGTGGACTTCCTGGTGGTTACTTGTTGTAAACTATAACACAGTTAGGACACAGCAATGGAAAGGTGGGACAGGCGTAACACTGGTGTAAAAGCAGTTGCAGAACAAATATGAAAACAAATGACATAGTGATACCTTTATAACACTGCCAGGACGTAGCTATAACACAGACATACAATGGTTGAACTCAGATGATGGAATTTTCATTTTATATTTTGAGAATGGTGTTTCAAAAATAGGTCAATCTTTCTATCCGTCCCACCCGGGCGGGGGGGGGGGGGGAAACACCAAAACGGGGGGGGGGGGGGGGGGGACAATACCTAAAAAAAATAATATTATATTAAGTTTAAAAAAAAATATATATATAAAAATGTAAAAATGACCCATTTAAAAAATCATCGCTTGAAATTGCACATATAACTCAGTCAAACGAAATATTTAATACTTAAGCTTTAACCAAGAATACAGGAAAGACCACTCGTCTTAACATACAGTTGATTACAATTGCCTCCCTTAAAGCAGAGAAAGTGGCATTTTTGTTTCCATTGTTTCGTTTTATTTACACTTACTTAATTTAACGTTTTAACTTTGATCTATGCAATATATGACTTTGTACAGCAGGCTTGAGAAAGTAATTTTTTGGTACAGGGGAGATAATTGGAGGGACCTACGTCAGTTCCTGCATGAAACTCTCTTTTGTATGCAATCCTTAATGTACGGCCATTAATGTGTCCTAGCTCCATGATCCTCTAATGTAAACATGTGTTAAATTAAATATTTTCTGTTAATTGTTCACACAATTAGCTTAAATTCATGGATAAATTATACATATTTACATTTTTATTGAAGCAAGTGAGTTGAATTTTAATTGATACTATTATACTATTCGTAACTTTCAGTTTAATTCAATAAACAAAAACTACTCTCTTCGAGTAATAATAAACACTTGGCTGCAATGTAGTGTCCTAGAGGACAGCCAGAGGAATGTGAAAGACAGTGCAGGTCCTAGAGGACAGCCAGAGGAATGTGAAAGACAGTGCAGGTCCTAGAGGACAGCCAGAGGAATGTGAAAGACAGTGCAGGTCCTAGAGGACAGCCAGAGGAATGTGAAAGACAGTGCAGGTCCTAGAGGACAGCCAGAGGAATGTGAAAGACAGTGCAGGTCCTAGAGGACAGCCAGAGGAATGTGAAAGACAGTGCAGGTCCTAGAGGACAGCCAGAGGAATGTGAAAGACAGTGCAGGTCCTAGAGGACAGCCAGAGGAATGTGAAAGACAGTGCAGGTCCTAGAGGACAGCCAGAGGAATGTGAAAGACAGTGCAGGTCCTAGAGGACAGCCAGAGGAATGTGAAAGACAGTGCAGGTCCTAGAGGACAGCCAGAGGAATGTGAAAGACAGTGCAGGTCCTAGAGGACAGCCAGAGGAATGTGAAAGACAGTGCAGGTCCNACAAAAAAAAAAAAAAAAAAAAAAAAAAAAAAAATTTTTCAATCCTCTTGCAACAGAAGAATTTAAAGTAACATTTAAAATTGTACCTGATTTTTTTTTCGTTCACTTTCATTTGTACATGCAACACTGGCCCAAACTCTAGAACAAGGTCAACTACAACTACATCACTTTGCTTATTGTGTGCCACCTTGCAAGCCGACATCAACAGGGTTTCTGTCAACAATTAGTCATGTATGACTGTTTAGATAGTGTTTTATAATGAAGCCGTTCGGTGATAGCATCAGATAGTGAGTTAATGCCCTTATTGAATTCATCAAGCAAATTCATTTTGTACTCTTTGGGGCAGATTTTTATTAGGGGAAGTGGGAACAAAGGAAATGTGTTGTGATTTCATGGAAGCTTGTCATTTTCAACAATTTTTAGCATGGTTATAAAAACAGATAGTGAAAAAAATTATCATTACACTCAATTTTGTTTTTTTAACTTTGCCCACTTTTACAAAAGATATCAATCATTATATTTATGTAAATGTGAAATTATTCCGTCTGTTTGTGGATCTTCACTAAACTTGGCTCACATATCCATCAATATCCAGGGGGGGGGGGGGGGGTGTTAAACTCTGCTTGACACCAGAGTGACTGGGTGTATGGTCATATACAATATTACGTTGTATGCCATTGCAGTAGCAGCTTTTGCAAATAAATTGTTTATCTGTAACGCCAAGAGACCAGAAGTTGACGTGTCATCTGACAATGTAGACTTCAGTAAGAAGACAGTGCTCCGTACAGCAGGTGCTGGTCACTATGGGTTTGTTGACATCTTGCATAGAGCATCTTGATCTTGTTCTATTCAGAGGCCCTTAGGCCGCTAAAGACTTGTACTATTGTATCTGGCCTGTATCCTTCTGGCAAATTCCTACTCTCCTGAACCCAACAGAACGTTGCTATGATTGCTGGAGAGAGGGTGGTACTGTGCTGTCTGCGGAAGCCTGAATAGCCAGACTGTGTTTGACCTCCATAATGCAAGGACAGAATCTACCTTCCCAGATTTCTCAGTAAATCCCTCATACTCTACACCAACGGACCTTCAAAGTTTTCAGCCACCACACTACTCTACTCCTATGCGCTAAACAGAGCAAGAACAGCAAATTAGGCAATGAAAAAAATTGATAATTTAATTGTTTCATCATCAAAAGTCTAAATCAGAACAACGAACAAAACCAGTAAGTGTATCTAATATATAAACAATGAAACTATACCTCTCAGAATAGCTCTCCTAAAAATAATAATACATGTTTAATATATGTTATAAAACTCATACAATAACAAATGTATTAGAAACTTTAAAAATGTTACCAATTTCCAAAGAAAAATTTAGTAACTTGTAATTATGATTTACGCCCAGTTGCTCTTAGCCCTGTTATGAAATGTTTTGAGTAGCTTGAGTGAGTGCAATTTTAAAGGAAGTACTGCAAAAACTTAACTCTCACCAATTTGCTTATAAATTAGCTAGAAGTAACAAGGATTTTATCTTAGTAATGTTAGAAAGACTTCACCATCGCCTAGACAGTTATAAGAAATTTGAAAATTGGTGCATTTTCATCAGCCATTAACACTAAAATATGTAAAGGTGAATATCAAAATATGACTAATTAGAGAAATAGACGCCCGGCAGTCACACGGTTCTGTTGTCCACCTCGGCCTTTAAACAATACCAACTGAAATCAATGGCTTGGTTCGGGACTACAAAGACTCCAGTCTAACAGCTCGGTCCATAGCTTAGCGTACCATATAACTTATTACTGGAGGGGCCCTTATCAAAAAAATTTTAGATCAAAATTCAAGGAAAGACAAACTGTGAAGAACAGCAGTGGCGACGCCATCAAATTTAACATGACGGGTCCCTTGCAGGTCTTAAAAAAATTTGGTGGGTCCCAAATAAATGTATTAAAAATAAAACAGGGGAGAGGGGGGTCGAAATTCGCGTTATTTTTGCGTACATAATATATGGATGGCCTCTTACAAGTTAAAAACTTAAATTTTATATATATTACATTTTATGACGTTATATTGACTTTTGTTGTCGATAAAATTTAAACATATCAAGGCATTTAAAATGGAAGTTCTCTTACATGTAATGTAGTTTATGCTTAATGAGCATATATACAATATTAGTACCTAATAAAAAATTGACCAGGTCCTTTGCCAGGTCCCAAGTTTTTTTACCAGGTCCTGGGACCCGGCGGGACCTGGTGTAGCGTCGCCACTGAAGGATAGTTATGTTAGGGAGATGTATCATTAAATCGTATGTATAAATTCCGGAAATATTGATTTTCAACGCTCAAAATTGGAGACACCAGCCTGTGCCAAAGTTATAATATTAAAAATATATTATTTCTATACCCAGTTTGATAAATACTTATTTTAATTGTTAAGTTGAGTAGAGCGATCGAGAGGCTCCAGTGTTACACGTTGTAGTAGTTTGATAGAGAATCCTCATTAGGTGTCGGGGTAATAAGGTGTTACTTAAGTTACCATCATAGGCCTACAGAGTTCCAACATTCATCCTCAAGTTGCCATTTAATGTATCACCCAATAAAGGGGCACTGTTAAAGTTATTCATATTGATATTAAAGGGTAAAATTAAACCTCCTTGAGATTCGAAATTTAAATAACCAAAAAAAAACACACACAAAAACTGGTTTCTATCAAAAGCCATTAATTGACAATTCAAGGTAACTTGTAAAATAGGTTAAGAGTTCCAGTCGATAAGGTGTCAAAGTTATCTCTTTAATGGGTTGCATTTATTGTTATTTTCATTATTATTCAAGATAGTTGATAAAATCGTTACTTCGTTAAATGTCTCAACGTTAAATTTATTCAATTAACGCGCAATCGTTCTTTTCTCAAGAGTCCCAATGACAGCAGTTACTGATCAATGTTAATACATGATGTATTGAACACGGCGCCACATCCAAATACATATAATACTTATAAGATTATAAGATTATAAGAACTAACCCACCAAACAATAGCGGCGGGAATAAACGAACTGCCCATCGACTAAAGTTACTTGACACAACATTCAAGTAAAGAACTTCTCGGAATTTTATATTGCACACAAAAAAAAAAAAAAAAAAGAAAAAGATGTAAAGCTATAGATAATTATTAGATTGGAGAATTATTATTTTTTTTTTTTTAAAAAAAAAAAAAAAAAGAAAAAAAAAAAAAGTACAGATATAGAAAAATATTAAATTGGAAAATTATTATTTTTTTTTTTTTTGTAATTTGTCAATATAACGCTAGGTTAAAAAAAAAAAAAGAAGTTCCGAAATGTAGAATGTACTGGACAGACGTTTTTGCACACAACTCTTGCACATTCTGAACTTTGAGTTTTATTGATGAAACATTCCGTTTTTAAAGTTAAAAATAAACGGTAACGAAAATTTATATTTAAAATAGATTAGCTGCTTTTTCATTTGCAACATTTTAACAACACAATTTCCAGCTTTATCGAAGCTTCTAATCGACACGAGCCTTAAGCCATGTCATAGGCAAGCATTTAATGGGCTGTGGACACGAACAAATAATGTTTTAGGTTTCATTGAAGCTTATCGTTTATTTGAACATAGATTATACCACAATTGTCAGATTATATAATAGTCTAAGGATAATTATCTTATTTCCAGTTCTTTTAAAAGTTAAAAACAGGATATAAAAAAAAAAAAATTATCCATGTAAAACCAAAACATTTTAAAAAGTGTTTGCTGCCAGTAAAGCATTTTTATTAAAAGACTTTTACATTTCTTATCGTTATGCTAATTTGGATGTATTATAAATTGCTTTATTTATTTATGCCTTTATATCGGATGTGTTTTTTTTTTCATTTTGCAGTGTTTAACTGTATTGGTTTCAACTCATGCCAAATGTCCACACACACAAAGTACTGTACTGTTAAAATCAGCACATATGGTCACCTTATCTTAATTTGATCATTAGCTTTTTAAAAACTCCTTTACATTTAACTTTGCTTCTGTCAGCGGCTGGATGGCAAAAATCTTTGGACGGCTAATTGACACACTTCCCGCCAACCTATCGAGAGTCAAAACACAGTTTTTGCCAAATTTTTTGCCCCAGCCTCTCATTGCTCGATATTACATTTTTATAAATGATTTATTCGCAAAAATGTGTTTTTAAGGGTCGTTCAATGACATTTAACGATAGCCTATGCTAACACGTAGGTACATTTTGTTCAGAATTATGTTAAACAGTATCGAAGTGAAAACAACAACAACAACAAAATGAAACAAATATTTTTTAGGCGTAAGACGATTCGTACATAGTGGAGCTCTTGACATTCTGCACGGGAGGCAGGGGTGGAAATTTGAAGGGCTCCCTCGGGGTAAAATAATCAGTGCTGGGGCCACCAAAGTCTCCAACGGGGTTGTCGTAGTACTGGCTTGGCTTTTCTTTTTCCACAATGTGAGCTTTCTGGTTTTTCCCGCGGTTTCTGTGTCAGATTAAACAATATATAAATATATTGACTGTGTCGGCTGATATAGAAACAAGTTAAAAAAAAAAAAACAGTTATTTTAGTAACTCATTTTATTTCTAATCACAAATGTTGCCTGTGCTTTTTTTGGTGTAATTTATTGAACAAGAAATTTAGAGAAAGGATCGATGTCATGTAGTCATAACTAACGCATCCCTATACACCATGAGACTAGGCTGGGCTAGGAAAGCTTCAGCTCTCTAGGATGTCGAGAAGCAAAAGCAGTACGATCTCAAAGAAGCCAGTGCAATATTTCTATAATGTGAAATTCTCATTGTATTTTTAACACCTTACCTGCGTTTGTAACACTTTCTTCCCCTTCAAATTTTAACAATCTGACCTGTAGTTTTAACACATTACCTACAATTTTAAAAACCTAAAATATGCATTTGTAACATCCTACCTGCAATTGTAACACCTTTCCTTGAGTGTCATGTCACTGTTACAGAAGCTGATGTCGTTCTTGCAGCAGACGAAGAGGATGCCGATGACGACGATCATGCCAGCGACCACACCCCACAGCTGCAGCTGCTCTTTCCTGAAAATATCCACACCAGCAGGTGTCACGTGATACAGCTGACAGGTAAACATTTCCAAACTCCCGCTCCACCTAACACGGCTGTCAGATCAACCGTCTTCATTCCTCTCCATTCCATTTCAAGTAAACAATTATTCTTAGATGCTTCACATAGAAATCTAACTTAATGTATAATTAGTTTCACAGCCAAGATCGGATTCATACCCCTATACTACCTTTTCTTTCTATCTTTCTCTGTCTCTGTCTCTGTCTCTGTCTCTCTCTCTCTCTCTCTCTCTCTCTCTCTCTCTCTCTCTCTCTCTCTCTCCCCCCTACACCCACACTCACTCCCTCTCTCCCACCCCACCGAACCACACATTTTTTTTTTATTGATACGCCGACCACCGAGATCTACACTCTCTCCCTCCACGCCGCTCTCCCGCTCTGTCTCTGTCTCTCTCTCTCTCTCTCTCTCTCTCTCTCTCTCTCTCTCTCTCTCTCTCTCTCTCTCACATACACACACACACATTCACACTCTCACCCCAACCAGCAAATTCCGTTTTAATATATTCATGATACCAAACAACGAAAACTGCGGTTCCCTTCCCCATGACTCTCTTCTGGACCTGGTACTGAGCACATGTCCAGCTAAATCCGTCAAGACGTGACTCTAAATTGTTCAGTTGGGACTACAGGCTGATGAACGAGGGACTCCGTTTGAAGGAAAGAGTACAACAAGGTCTGTGCAAGTTCGAAATGAAAGAAAAAAAAAGAACATTGTCTTGTTTGTTGTATTTAGAGCTTGCACATATTGGCAGGTAGGGCGAATGATTCTCAGGAGGACTACTGTTTAAAAGCGGGCAGGTAGGGTGTAGGACTGTCTGTAGGACTACTGTTTAAGGGCCGGCAGGTAAGGTGTAGGACTGTCTGTAGGACTATTGTTTTAGGTTCGGCAGGTAGGGTGTAGGACTGTCTGTAGGACTATTTTTAAGGGCCGGCAGGTAGGGTGTAGGACTGTCAGTAGGACTATTGTTTAAGGGCTGGAAGGTAGGTTGTAGGACTGTCTGCAGGACTGCTGTTTAAAGTCCGGCAGGTAGGGTGTAGGACTGTCTGCAGGACTGCTGTTTAAAGTCCGGCAGGTAGGGTGTAGGACTGTCTGCAGGACTATTGTTTAAGGTCCGGCAGGTATTTTAGAAAATGAGAAGCTAACTCTTATTTGTAACACTTGGACACGCCAGGAATTTTCCAGAAATACCCGGACCCCGTTTAAAAAAAGCAACTAGTAATAATGCTTGGACAACTAATATTTTCTCACAATACCCGGACACTGTCAAAAAAAAAAAAACTTCACCAGGTTAAGCCCTAGTAATAATACATTTCAGTTACATTAATGCGCACCACCAAGTAGCGATACATACAAGTTTTTCTCCTTCTCCGCCATACAGCAAGTTCTCTCTCCGTTTTCTGTACAGCATCGCGTCAGCTCGTTCCCATTGCAGTAGTACACATTCCCGTCCTTGTCGCCGATTGACTCGTCTTTGTAACACGTGCCGGCCTCTACCCCTGGGGAATGGATAAATCCATGAACGACCTCAAGATCTGTTCGTCATAGTACACAAGAAATAAACCGCCAAAGACCGGCGGCGGAAATGCGTTAACTCCCCATCTACTCAAGTTACTTGACAAAGGATGCATTCAGGTAACGCACTTTTATAAGAACACCATTGATGCTAATTTCTAGGAATTTTATATTGCGCGCCTATTGAACACAGCGTTACTGCCATACACAGATTATATCTGGCGCATGGTTATTTGTGATCCGCCCAAAAACATAAAGCAAACCAACAAACAATGATCAAAGGGAAAGTGCTTACATATTTAATGTGCATTTTGTTATTTCTCTTATAGGAAATTTAAAAGAAAAAAAAAGATGAGGCCTTTTGAAAAGAATGTACCACGTTTCACCCTTCACTCATAACCAGCTCGACCCTCCCCCCCCCCCTCCCCGAAAAAAATAAAATAAAAAGGACACAATCCATTTTTTGTATTTCAAAAAAATATTTATTTACATTTTGTGTTTTTTTTTTTTTTATTGCAATTTTGCAACTAAGCAAATTATGCTNCAGTCTCTACGCTACTCCTCTGTTCCTATCATGAACATATTATTTCGCCGATGTCGGCCATGATTTATGCAGGACGGTGACACAAAACACCACAATAAACACGACGGTAAATCATTCATGCGGGCAGTTTCACAATGAGGCTGTGTTTATAAATGACCCGACAACGTCTTGGTTCCGTTTCTTCGTCTCTGTCAAGTCTCCGGGGAGGAACCACTCCAATTGCGTTTCCCAGCAAGTAGCGCTTACTCAAGTAGACTTGCTGGAGGCACGAGAACTTCACTTTCCCCAAAAACGATTTAATTCGTATAAAAATTTTCGCGTGTAAACTGGATAAAAAACCATTTGCCGTAGAATTAAGTAGCATGGTTCTTGTTCCAGCAAGTTATTGCTACTAGAAACCGTGATTTTTTTTTTTTTTTTTTTTTTTTTTTTTTTTTTTTTTTTGTTTTTGCTTTCGGCCGAAACCGACACCTAACCGAAGGTTAAAAATTACTTTCAACCGAAACCGAATCCAAAACCAAAAGCTTAACGAGACTTTCGGCCGAAACCGAAACCTAAACCGCAAGATATAGATATTTCGAAAGATGCTCTGCGCACGTCGAAAAATCATGGGGGGGGGGGGGGGGGGG